GGGACCTCGGCTTGGGCTGTCACTCAATACGCGTTTAGCATTCCGGGCTGTTAGATGTTATCTACCTGTTCTAATAATAAAATAAGAGGTATACAAGCAAATACCCTTTCTTTTAAACTATGTATATTAAATTGTGTTACTTTTCAAAGCACCAATTTGTTATTAATGATTATAATAAAAACTAGCTGTTGCTCGCGACTTCGCCCGCGTGAAATAAAAAAATATAGCCTGTTACTGATAATGGAGCTTTTTAATGGTGAAAGGATTTTTTGAATAGGCCCAGTAGTCTGAGTTATTTCATTATTTATACAAATACAAATCTATCGTCTTTATAATATTAGTATAGACTGAAAAAAATTACGAAAGCCAAAGACATTTAAAAAATGAATAGATTAGACATGTCTCAAGCGTAGTGTCGATTATACCTCCTCTATATATCTTTTTAATGTTTGACTAAAGCGTATTTGCTTTTATATCCCTTATGTTATAGTTCTTAGTAACCATTAAATGATTCTGAATCGTGAAATTTACCTTACTAAATGATGAGGCATATGTAAAACACGCAGATATCATTTCTGTTTTTCTTTTATAGAAAATCAGCCAGAAACGAGAGAGAAGACACCAGAAAGAGGTGTTTCCAACGCGACCCTGCAGCCCGGACCAGACCTCACAGAGGATCTGCCGGAGGATCCTACTGAAGAAATTGAACAGATATTTAGAGGTAACATTATCCAATTTAAAAAAAATTGCTAGCTTTCGCCCGCGACTTCCTCTGCATGAAATTTAAAAAACAAAATAAAAGGAAGTAGCTTATGTGTTCTTCCAGGCTATCAATATCTTCGCCAAATTTCATCTAATCCCTACGTCGTTTAGGCTACAAACTGTAACAAACATCAATTCATCTACACTTTCGCATTTATATTACTAGCTTTCGCTCGCGACTTCGTCCGCGTAGAATTAAAAAAAAAAACAAAAACAAGTAGCCTATGTGTTCTTCCAGACTATACTTTACGTCTGTACTAAATTTCATAGAATTCTGTTCAGCTGTTAGGGTTATAAACTCTAACAAACATCCATCTAAACTTTCGCATTTATAATATTAGTAAGATAAAAAGGACAGAGGGAGGGTGATAATGATGATGATGGTGATGATGATGATGATGATGATGATGATGTGGAGGTGTTGTGCAGGCGTGGTGTTGGAGGTGCAGGGTCTGGAGGCGGAGGCGGTGTGCGAGGTGGGCGCGGAGGTGGCGGCGGCGGGCGGCGTGCTGTGCGCGGCGGGCGCGGGCGGCGGCTACGTGCTCGTACCACTCGACTTTGACACCCAAGACCTTGTTAATACTACGGCTGAAGCGGTCACTGTATTCTGGGTGGTCAGTACTAGACTCCGTTCTACATTCAAATGCATTTTTTTAGGGTTTATACGAGTTAAAAAGTAATAATTGTATAGATGTTAGCTTTCGCCCGCGACTTCGTCCCCGTGGAATTTAAAAAAAAATAACTGGCGTTCCAGACTATCCTCTACGTCTTTGGTCAAATTTCTTCCATCATCTCCATCCAACATTCATCCATCCATCATCCATCTAACAAAAAGAGAATCGTATTTTCAACTTTTTTAGGCTAGATCTAAAAGGAAGGAGTAGATACGATAGGTAGTATTTTTTACAATTTTTAGATTTAATTAGAATTAAAAAATAGTGGTCCATTCCAGGCATATTACATATGGACACTCTAGTTGTATTATATTTATAAGTATGGGTGGGGACCAGCTTCATGTCGTTTTCTAACGAAATTTGAGTCAATTTTTCTATACTTTCCTTGTACCCTTAATTCAATATCCATTGTGACGAGCAACTAATTTTTTAATTTTTTTTTAGCATTTCACCTGCATTTAAATCATATCCAAACATATAACTTTAGAAAAAAATATTTTTTTTGGTTTTAAAAATCTACGATATTTTCATACTTTACTTCGATTAGTTGTTAAAGATATTTATTTTTCTCTTAAGAATATATAATACACTTATCGAGAATTTTTTTTTTTACATTTAGAACAGTCTAGTTTATTATCATATATATTAATAGATTAAGTTCTATATGCATTTCTAATGGTGTTTCAGAAAGACTGTTTATACCAACAAGAGCTGGTGCCGCTGCAGTACTACCACCGGCCGGTGCCGGTGACGTGGCGCGGCGCGCCGCTGGCCGGCGTGGTGGCCAGCATCAGCACCTACAGTGGGCTGGAGCGCGCCTTCCTCGATGAACTGGCTAAACTGCTGGGCGCTACGTAAGATTACCATGTATATAAGGTGCAGATAGCCATGACTTGGAAGGTGGAGGGGGTTGGTTCCCACCTTCTAGATGCCCTATATAATCAGCTCACTACCTCCTAACTGAAGGAGTTGAAATCTAAACTAAGTTAGGGGTGACTAGGTCGTAGGCAACTTTAGCCTAGTATTAGTTACATATCGGGGATTCGAACCCAGGAACAGTAGATTACAAGTCAACTGCTTAACTCTTGAGCCACCCAAAATATACACATAGCCCACAAGTTTTGTAAAAATTAGTTAATGTTTTTTTTTTATTAATTTATCTTATTTACAGTACATAGTTGCGTTTAAATTATTTAAACTTTCGTGAGACATTTTATTATTAATTATTTAACGGCTTACTCACGTCATACTTTTTTTTTAAAGAAAAGTATGACGTGAGTAAGCCGTTAAATAATTAATTACACAGTTGCGTTTTTAAATTAATTTATTTTATTTACAGCACACAGCTGCGTTTCTGTCGACGGACGATAGCGACCGCGCTGGCTTCCACGCACTTGATCTGTCCCAGTCCATCCGGGGACAAGTACGAGGGCGCGGTGAAGTGGCAGCTGCCCGCTGTCCGCGCGCACTGGCTGCTGGCCTGCGCCCGCGCTGCCAGGCGAGTCAGCGAACGACCTTATCTAGTCGGAGATACTAAAGGTATACTAGGAATGGACTAGAACGTACAAATTTATATAGCTGTTCCCGTGCGACTTCACCCGCATGAAATTATGAAAATTTTATTTTATTCTGTCAAATTAATAATTACAAATGTCAAAATTACATGACATGATGATAACCTTGCTTCCTTGATGTTATAAATATTTACCCCCTAAGTTCAATGGCGTTAAAATATGTAGCCTAAATTGACGCAAGTTTAGGGCTTTTTATTAAAAAAAGAATTGTTCAAATGTGTGCTGTAATTGCTGACATCTTAGGCAACAAAGAAGTGTATTTACGCTTTATTATAATAGTATAGATGATCATCTAGTGTAGAAATTACAAAATCAAAAGTAAATCTGCTTTAGCTCCGCCCACACCAGAGCAGTCGCCAATCAAAGAGCAAATGGACGCAGAAGTGACAGAGGACGGGACGGGTGCGGATGCAGAGACAGGGGCGGGGACAGACAAGGAGAACGAGATGTTACCGCCTGTCGGCTGGGACGTGCCGCGCAGGAACTCCTTATACAACAGAGAAGATACGCCTAAAGCTAAATTGAATGGTAGGTTTTGTTTAAATCTAGTTGTAAATTTAAAAAAACGACTGACTTTCCAAGTGTCCTTGAGTCAACCGAATAAATAGTTACTTCTTCTAATCGTAATTTACATACAAATCCATAAAAAGTGAATAATATTTTTCCTCCGAGTCCGGCAATAATCTTACTTTTTACTAATATAAATGAGAAAGTTTAGATGGATGTTTGTTAGAATTTGTAGCCTAAACTGCTGAGCGGATCTCTATGAGATTTGGCATAGATGTAGGATTTATTCTGGAAGAACACAGGCTACTTTGATTTTTTTTCTTTCACGCAGACGGAGTCGCGGGCGAAAGCAAATACAATATAATATGATCATTATTTTTTTAATAGCAGATGGAGAGGCGATGTCACCAGCGTCGCGGTACATAGCGATGGCAAGGCAAGGTCTGCTGGGCGATTCCCAGGAGACGCCCAAACGACTACAGGAACTGATAGAAGATGCTAAACCAGGTATATCATCACCAGCTCACTATACTTTTCCATTGAGGAGCTCGGAGCCTACCCTAAAGGCGACTAGGTCATATCAACCACACTGTACTGTGGGTTGACTTCACACATGTCTTTGAATTTCTTTGTCGATGTGTGATGTTTTCCTGATTTTCTCCTTCACCTTAAGAACGTCGAGTAAAATTGGTACACAGCGAAAATCGAACCCTGGACCTGTGGACAAGTCAAGTGTTTAAACCTAAGCCACCGACGCTTTAGATATATAAACCTTTGTAATAAATGATTTTCAGGTGAAGATGCAGTACGAACTCCTCCGTTAGAGGAAGCACTGTCGTCTCCCAAGCTGGCGGCGCTGAGCCCCACCACGCGGCGGCGGCTGCGCGCCGTGCGCTGCGGGGAGATGCCCTCCGACCCCATACGGACACCCACAGACCCCTGTACGTACGCACGTACGCACGCACGCACGCACGCACGGACGCACGCACGCACGCACGAACGCACTTACGCATGCACGAACGCACTTACGCATGCACTAACGCACTTACGCACGCACGCAGCTATACGTACGCGTATAGGCGCGTACTGTTATACGGAGGATTCAATTTAAAAAAAAAAAAACAAAGTTTTGAAAAAAAAAAATCAAACAATGATTGTATATTTTTACATATTTGTATGATATCCTATACAAAATTTACATAAGAGTTAAGAAACATCGTAATCATTTTTTGATATTTTTTTGAAATTATATGTTGCATGTAGTTGAGAAGAATATCCCGACCCCGGAGAGTGCGTTCGGCGCGGCGCTGCGGCCCGGCGGCCGGCTCTCGCCGCGCTCCCGGAAGCGGCTGTGGCAGCTCGTCAATCAACTACCTTCGAAACCACATCCACCGCCTAAAGAACATACTGTACTTTATTTTTCATATACTAATAAGGAATATGCATTTTTTTAAACGATTCTGCTTATTAGTAAGATAACCAGAAAAAAATATTGAGCTAATAATAATAAAATTAATTTACGATCATTTTCGTGCGACTAAAACGCGATCGAAGTTGGCTTGAGACACGTGACGTCAATCGTCACATTTCATTCAAAAAAGGAAAACTTAAAAAAAGTTTGATCCAATTTGGCGTTTTATGCATATTGCCTATTGTCGCCTGTGACACTGCTTTCCAGTCTATTCGTCGAAACATTCTGAAAATCCGTAGTAACAAAGTTTCATATATCGAAAATTTAGATGAACGTAAAAGGGCCCTTTTTAAATATACGAGAAAAGTTTTTAGACCTCTGATTTAAATTATCTTATTTATAACATTAGTAAGATAAATTAAAATTAAAATAATTGTATTTTATTGTGTATTTACAGCCTCTATCTGAGATCCGGAACCGTTTCTTAGCGCAATTCAACTCGCAGGCGGAGACGCCGCCCGCAGACCACTCCGCCGCGCCTAGGAAATTAAAACTACAGGTATTTACCATGTATTAGTAAGAACTAAGATTAGGAGACTTAAATATTTTTAATCGCTGGCAATGCTATTGGTTTGTTCTGTTAGAAAATATTTAAAACTGATATGGACCTAGAAAATAACATAAAGAGGGTATTATGCTATCAGTTAACATGCAGATATATAATTGTGTTGAATTCCGATCTGATACTAACAATTAATAAAATATTTTATCTATTTTAGGATCAACCTGACACACCGCCGCCAAAGATGCCAAAACTATTCAGTGATCAGGTAAAAATACGATCATATATACTAATATAATAAACCGTAAACACACTTATTTGTTGCCTAAGATGTCAGCAATTACAGCATATTTTTGAATAATTATTTCTTTAATAAAAAGCTCTACACTTGCATCACGCTTTTGGCTATATATTTCAACGCCATTAAACTTAGTGGGTAGATATTTTGAATAAAACCCCTAATGTGGGAAAGAGACCATAAGTTGCTGCCAACATCAAGAAAGCAAGGTTGTCATCATGTCATGTCATTTTGACATTTGTAATCGATAATTTGACAGATTTAAACAATAAAATAAAATTTTCATAATTTCATGCGAATGAAGTCGCACGGGAACAGCAAGTTTAAGTAATAAACTTAAACCAAATGTTTTTAGAAAATGTTTCTCACGCTTTATAAATCGAACGTCGGTTGCACGGAAATAAATCATTTATTGTTACTTTTGTATGGAGCGTGCGAGTGAGAGCTAACACTGATAGAGACAGACGATATAAGCGTTTAGCTATTATTTTTAGTAAATCAACGTTATTTTTTTTATGAGACAATTTTGTTGATTCAGACAGCGAGCAGTATAAGCGCGGAGGAGAGTGTGAAAGGCGAGAGTAGCGCAGGCGCAGCTGCCAGCGCAGGCGCAGCTGCCGGCAGCAGGACGCCGCTGCCTGCCGCAGTGGACGCGCAGCTGCAGCGCCTTACTGCTGCACTCAACAGCCGCAGCTCGCAGAAACCGAAGCGCTCTAGAGACTCCGTTACTGTTACACCACGTAATTATTATACTAATATTATAAATGCGAAAGTTAAGATCCTAGATGGATGTTTGTTAGATTTTGTAGCATAAACTTTGAATCAATCTGGATCAAATTTGGCATAGATCTAAAGGATAGTCTGGAAGAACACACTAACTGCTAACTTTTTTTTTTCTTAACTCCATACGGACGGAATCGTGGGCAAAAGCTATTTTTTCCATATAGCTATAATTTCTATACATTTGTTTTTAAGATGAATAGCAGAATAAGGAGTTTAACATTTTTTTTTAACGAAATACTAATTCAACATTGAGATAACTACACAAAAGTATCGAACTTTCTGTGTCGAAATAAAAATACTGATTTACCGACCGACTGTACTCTTTATGAAAGTTTAAATTTTTTTACTTGTAAATGAATTTATGGTTGTTAGAAATATTATTGTTTTGTTTATGACAGCTGTTAGCGCGGTGGAGCCGGAGCCGGAGCCGCTGTCGCAGCCCAACACAGTGGGCTGGGATGACGGCGCCACGCCCCCGCCTGCGCACACTCAGCACACGCAGCACACGCAGCACACGCAGCACACGCAGCACACGCAGCACACGCCCATCAAGAGGTTCATGCTCTCCTCTAATGTTGATGTAAGCAATTATTCATATATATTACTATTTATAATGTTTTTTTGAAGTTTCTCTTGGTATTGAATGTTATTGTCCATGTCGGTCAGATAATGGATTATTGCCAACCGTCCCCCCCGCTATGTCCCCACGTGAGGGAAGATTCGAATAAAAAGTTTCTCCGTCCCACCTTTTAGTCCCATTATCACCAATAAGCTGAAAGATGGAACCGTTAAGAAATATAATAAGTTCCAACCGTCCTCTCGTCGTAAAAAGTGGGACAGATAAAACTGTATGTTATCATCTGTCCCCACGCTGGGACAGTACGAGGTGAAGGTTGGGAATAACTCCAGATAATCAAGTAGTTGTTGACTATTTCTGTGAGATAATGAAATAGTTGTTCACATGAATTGTGTACATTCCAGAACCGGGAGGAGCTGACAGCGATGATAGTGTGGCTGGGCGGCGAGGTGAGCCAGTGCAGCGAGGTGGACGTGCGCGCCACGCATCTCGTGTGCGCCGCGCCCGGCCGCAGCGAGAAGATGCTGGGCTGCGTCGCCGCCGGCCGCTGGGTGCTGCACCCCGCCTACGTCGCGCGCAGCCGCGCCGCCGCCGCCTTCCTGCCGGTACCGCTCGCACTGCACACGCACGCACACGCACAGCACACGCACTGCACACGCACAGCACACGCACAATACCCGCACAGGACACGCACAGCACACGCACAGGACGCGCACTAAACACGCACTAGACACGCACAAGACACGCACAGGACACACACAGCACAGGCACAGGACGCGCACTAAACACGCACAACACACGCAAGTTTGTTTTATAGCATAAGACAATCAAACAGCAGATTGCCCAAAAACGAATGCAATGTAATTTTGATGATTTAATCTATTCAAAACATTACAACACTATAAAACATTTTTCAATGTTTTAAAATTTCACTAATAAACTAAGTAAACGTAACATATGACTAAAAACTTTAACTATACGATTTAGTAGCGAAATTTAATCATTAAAAAATGACTTAAAATTCTCTCGCCAACTTCTAAAACGCAACGCTGTTGGTGAATTAACTCACTTTTTGACTTTTGATAATTCCGAGGACCAATCAAATATTTTTGTTGTTTGATGACGTCACAACGGAGTACACTCCGGCCTCGTTTTAGTCGTACGAAAATAATTGAGATTTTTTTTTTTTAGGTCAATGGGTGGTTTTTTGTACATTTTTTCCCTATTATAGACGTTGGCTACCCTTAATAGGAAAAATGCATATTGTTATTTTTCAAATTCGTCTGTATGTCCTGACTTTGAGATATAAGGAAGGGAAAATGTTAATGTTCAATCCAGGAGGAGGAGTTTGAGTGGGGCAACCCACGAGCGACGTGCCTCCCCGCAGTATCGGAGGCGGAGCGCTCTCTGGCGGCGGCGGCGTACCGCTGGCGGTCGCGACGCGCCGCTGGCTTGCCGGGGCCGTTCGCTGGCATGGTGGCATTGCTACACATGCCTGACGCCCGCCGTCGCCTGCTCGCCAGGCTGGTACTGGCTGGGGATGGACAGGCGCCTGATGACAAGTTAGTATTTTCGTGATTTTACAAAATGACTTTCATTTTATGTCTGTCTTCTGTGTGATTGTGGTATTGATGGGGGGTGGGGGGGGGGGCAAACAAGTTTGTTGCGAGCGTCTATCACTGTTAAAATATTACTCAAATTAAACGGTCTTTCGGGCATCTAGGACCACTGTAGCGTTAATTCCCGACAATTTGTGGAAATTTTTTTTGTCATTTCATAATCTTAATGTGTTTTTTTTTTTATTTCAAATCCTGTTCTATGTTTTGTGTGCTAAAAACGTTCAAAAACCAAAACTAAACTCTGTAATGTAATATTGTATATTGAAACGTCTATTTTAGATTTATATATGGCCTAAATACCTAGCACTTAGACGGAAGACGCTCCTACAAGACGGGCCTAGAGCCTATTGTAGGAACCAGGCTCTCCACCACTACTTTCTAACACAACTTGTGTAATCTATAAATAAATGTTTAAATATGTTTCCAGGCCGCCGTATTCCAACGAGGAAGTGACGGTGTGCTTCGCGGACGTGAAGCGGTGTCCGCTGAGCGCGCGCGACGCCGCGTGGCTGCGCGCGCGCCGCCTGCCCGTCTGCCCGCCCGTGCTGCTCAGCGCGTACCTCACTGACGACACGCCGCCCGACCCGCGCCAACACTGCATACCGGAATTTGCACCTAAATGATACTGTGATAGAGTATAATTTGCTTTGTAAGTTCGATCTACCGATCCATCAAAGTGTTTATCCGAACATGAACCTTAATAACATGGGAATAGAGTATAAAGTTGGATCCGTCGAACCTGTAAAGCATACTATTCGAATATGTACCTTAAATATGTTAGAATAGAGTTTATGCTATGTAGGTTGAGTCCTTCAAAATGTATATCCAAATATGAACCCTAATACCATTGCAATAAGGTACTGTATGCTATGTAAGTTCGATCCGTAAAATCTACTTGATCACTGTTTATTCGAATATGAATCTAAAGAATATTGTAAATAAGGTGCTAAATACTATGCTATAAAGGTTCGATTCGGCGAAACTACTAGAACATTTTATATTCAAATATACACTTTAATGCTATTGAAATAAAATATACTTTGCTATGTAAAGATCTTCGATTAACCGAACATAGTACACTGTTCTAATATAGACTTAAAGGTGTAAAGAATAAGGTATGCTTTGAACACAGGAGTAAATAATCGAAATTTAAACCATAGATTGAAAGAATTTGAGCATGTACTGCTCTTTGAGACGCAAAATATTAAAAAAAACGTCAGCGACTGTAAATAATTTATTTTTACTATGTTTTATTATAGACGTAAATTAGAACATTTTTATTATATTTCTTCAAACTATTATTTAAATGACATTTTTAGTACAGAAATTCCGTATTTCAGAGAACATAAGAAATTCAGTTCGACTCAATTTTCGTTAAGTCATACGTCAATGTCACTGACAGTTACATGGACAAAGAGTATAAAATAATTTAATGTTGTTCTTTGAAGATCTTTCCCGATATTACTGGTCAGTTTTTAAAGATTAAATTGTACAAATGTTAAATAACTTTTTAAATGCATTTTAAATATCGTTTTTATTGTACTAATTATTTCGTGCAAAGCTCTAGCTTATGTATATCAACATTTTAATGGCGGCTTATGCCTAAAACTATTTTAAACCTTTCTAGATAATTACTTTGATGTTTGTAAGTGTTATTAGCGTAAATATTTTTGACAAGATTCATCAGTTTAGATTTTGTATATGTTAATAAATGTTTAAAGTTTTATTTGAATGTTTTATTTAAAAACCTTTCAAAGCCACAATCACTTTTTTCTACTACAGATTTTATTATTTCTCTATAAGATTAAAACACATTTTTTTTCTTTTTTTTTATAACATAAGATGGCAAACGAGCAAGCGCCCACCTGAATCCGCCAGAGTGGCGAAGCGACCGCTGCCCATAGACATCTGCAATTGCAGATGCGTCGCCTACCCTTATCCGACGGAGGAGGAGACGCACATAAAGAGGATATTTCCTCTTCCTATGCATCTCCTCCATCGTCAAATCCACTTCCCCTTCCCATCCTCTCATAAGAAAAAGGGTGGTAAAGAGAAAGGGACTTAAATTAGGCCTCCGGCACCACACTCATCAGACGAAACACGGTATTGGTTCCATTTCAAGCCTGTCTTCTGTGTGGTCGTGGTATTACACCGGGTGTGCCGGCCCATTCGTGCTAAGATGTTAAAGCGGGCACTACCACTGTCTTTTATTCAAAACTAGCTTTTGCCCGCATCTCTGCGTGAATTTTAAGGATAATAATAAAGAAATGAATTAATGTAGCCTATGTTACTCACAGATAAATTACCTTTCTAACGGTGAAAGAATTTTTAAAATCGACCCAGTAGTTTTTGAGCCTATTTATTACAAACAAACAGAGTTTTCCTATTTGTAATATTAGTATAGACAAGGAAAATTAAATAATAAAACGACATGCACATATAAATTATTTTATTATTAATTGTACAATTTCCAGTTTTAATATAAATAAAAAAATAAATCAGCTTCTAAAATTAGATTCCTGTTACTAATTGAATTTCTTGACCATCAATTTGATGGATCTTTGGTCATCTTTGGGGTAATCAAGGCCGGCTTCTGCCATTTCTTGCAGCGTCGCCTCCGCCGTGGTGATGTACCCGCACCTCGCAGCCAACTTCTGTGAGGATATCCCAGTGAATACTGTAGTCGCTGCTTTTACTCCTAACTGCTTGCAAAGAGGCTCTCTGAAACACAAAATTTAGTTTATTCTATGGGAAAACATCGTCGATTGAATAGAAAAATTATTATTAAAAATACCCTACTGTTAACAATATTCTTAGCTTAGCGTGAAACGTCACATTTAGTTGCGTAGTGTCTTTTTGCATATATTTTTTTTACAGTAGGCTTTCTTTAGTAATAATCTGATTCACTGAAAAATTTGATTTTTTTTTCTATTTAATCGACGTTATAGACAATTGTTTTTAATAGACAGTAGTATCGTAATAGTAGGGGGTTGCACAAGTACGCAAGTGGCTTCGTTCGCAGTGTCCCTTAAAAGTTAATTTCTACGATTTGAAGTTATTAATGTTGTAATAACATTTTCTACATGCAGTTCGAGATACAGTTAATGTCTCCCATAGTATGGAATATACATCGATACCCAATTGTAAAAAGGAGCAGAGTACCAGTTCGTTGGAGATGGAAGACAATTTTTCTAAATCTGGAACACCGCAAACGAAGGTGACTGTACAGAACGAATCATACAAACTTGACACAAAGTTCCCAATTATTTGCCATACCTCGCGTTTAGTATCCGCGCGCCTAGCCTGGCACCTCTGAACTCGCGCCGCACCACCAGTCCGTAGCCGACCAACAGCACATCCTCACCTAAATATTCAAATGGATTGCATTTGTCTTCAGCGAATTTCAGACCTTCGAAAACCGTCTTCCATTTCTCGCCTCGTATCTGAAATGCGCAATTGATATTAAAAAAAAAATAGTACATCAGAAAAACTCTATAAGTATATACTGGCTTTCGGCCATGACTCAGGCCGCGTGGAATTAAAAAAAAAACAAAAGTCAGCCTATGTGTTCTTCCAGACTATCCTCTACATCTATACCAAATTTCAAAGACATGCGTTCAGCCGTTTAGGCTATAAACTCTAACAAACATCCATCCATCTAAACTTTCGCATTTATAATATTGATATGATAGTATAGAACATTACAAATGTAGTAAAGTTAGAACATAATAACCTCGATAGACATTTCGTCGTCCTTTTTCGCTATAACACAACAGTTCCCTCCCGCTAGTGTCTTGACTCCGTCGACCTCTTTATAGCAAGCGATGCTTGTCCTCTCAGCAACGCACACTCGCCAGAAATCGCTGATACCCTTCACACTTTCTGGGTGTTCAATAAGACCTGTAACATTTTAAGTTTTTCATGTCTTTCTGAGTATAAGTGACGTTAGGGGTTACTAAGCCTTAGTCTAGCACACTGGTAGTGGACTTCACACATGTCTTTGTATTACTTCCTAGATGTGCAATTTGCATAACGATGTAAGCAATCGTAGTAGGGACGCACACTAACTTATATTTCAATTGATGCAATTGAAATCGAGATGGTTGTTATTTATTAAACGCCTGCATCCTTTGTCACTTCTAAGGTCAAATTCATTTGTCTAATTCTTTTATCGATTATGGACTCGTAAATAAACAGATCGTAAAAATCCTTCATTATATCCTGAATTGTTTATCCTCAATCTTTAGGCAATTCTTCCGCTATTAATACAACAGAGAGTTAACCTTAAACTGCAACTGGCCTTGTCCCAGTTAATGTATAATGAGAGACATTCTCAGTAAACCAGTTCCGAAGGCCTAGTTCGCGAGGATAGCCTCCATTAAGAGTGGTGACCAAACGTATGCGATACGCGAACAAATTATTGAATACTCAATTAATAAAAAACTTACTAAGACTTTGTTAATGAACTTTATTTTCTCTAGTGTCTACCGGTAAATTTTTTATAGTAGGAGCTATTTGACTACTTGGTTATGTATACATCAGACATGTCAAAAGGCACTGCCTGATCTACTTTTTAACACAAAATTATTTATTGCCTTAAAATGTTATTTGGTATTCTGATATAAAGATGTTGACAGTCGATATTATTATTCAATGTTATTTTATTCGAATAGTTTTTACATCTATTTTCTTTGAGAAACAAAGATGGTTAGTGCCACCGCTCACCTCTCGTTGGCAACGCGTAGTTATGATTTATGCTAATTACTCTTGTTATATCTCAAGCATCACTTATTAAGTTTTAAAACTTGAACGTGAGTACATCACGTAATGTTTCGAACGTTATTTTCATGCAAATGTTAGACTTACAATTAGTGACAGTTTGTTGAAGCTAATTACTCACTTTAGCTTCGTCTTGAGATAATAACGATATTGAATAACATTAACTGTGACTTTACATTGTCTAGAAACAGATATCTCTGCATAATTTGTTTTTCCCAACCCGCTTATAATTTGATACAATTCACTTCTGTTGAGTCTTATAAACAAAAAATAATAATAACGATGATGCGATGGAAATATTAAATCGCATGTTTTTAAATTGTTTGTAATTTATCTTTTCCTGTATTTAAATAATTATTCTTTATAAATGTCTCGTTATAAACGTTTTTGTCAACAAAAAATACCACAAACTTTGTACTTAATATTCTAGCTGTGTATTATTTTTAAACGGTTTCATTTGATTTGCAAAGTTTGTTTATTTGTAAAATAAGTTTTAGTAAATTATGTACAAGGTTTAAATTTTTAAATATACAGGCTTTTTGATCGACTTCCCAAAAGAAGGAGGTACTCAATTTTTCTGTAAGTTTTTTTTGTGTGCTAAGGCATAACTCCGCCGCTAGTGGACCGATTTTGATAATCGGTCCACTAGCGGCGGAGTTAGTGGGTCCCATTTTTTAGTTTGATTTTTAGAGTCAAAGTCTACAATGTAGTTAAATAGTTTATTACATTGTAAGATAGTAAACGAGAATAACTAAATTTGGTGGTCTTTTAATTTTCATCGTCGTAAAAAGAATTTACTAAGAGAAAGTCTTACGTGTAACAGAACAGAGAACTTCATCGGTGCTAAGATGGTCTACCAGAATATCAATGAATTCCTCTTCATCTTCAGGCGGCAGATCTTGTATCACCCAGGTGACGCCATCCGCCTCCCACCGCTCGTACTCTTGTGGATAGTTTGCTTTACGTTCACCCTTCATTACCATTGCCTGTTAAGTACATAAATGGGAAAATATAGATGGATGGATGGATGGATGTTACGGCTAAAAGGACCTAGATGAAATTTGCCACAGATTTACAACATCGTTTCAAAGAACACATAGGCAAGTTAGATCAAAAGGGGACTAATCTTGAAACATTGTTCTTATTCCAAAATACTTCTCTGTGGCTTACACACACTTCTCTGTGGCGTAAAATGTCAGCAATCACAGCATATTTTTGAATAATTATTTTTTCAATAAAAAGCCCTACACCTAGGTCACGCTTTAGGCTATACATTTTCACGCTACTAAACTTAGAGGGTAAATAAATTGGATAAAAATTCGCCTGATGAGTGTGGTGCCGGAGGCCTACTTTTTAGTCCCTTTTCCCTTTCCACCCTTTTCTTAAGAGGAAAGGATGAGAAGTAAAAGTGGATTTGATGGTGGAGTCGCACAGGAAGGAGAAATATCCTCTTTATGTGCGTCTCCTCCTACGTCAATTAAGGGTAGGCAACGCATCTACAATTGCGGATGTTTAAAAGGCAGCGGCCGCTTACAATTTTGGTGGATTTAGGTGGCCGCTTGCTCGTTTGCCACCTTATATCATAAAAAGTATTAGATACCAAAAGCAGTATGTATGTAAGTATCATACTGTAAACTTCATTTACCGTTTATATTTTTGTTTTGATATGATAAGAGAAGAGGCCCTTGATGTGTAGTATTTATTGTGGAAATATTGTGCATAATTATGCACTTCTGATAGTATGCTTATTGCATTTGAAATTGCCTCGTCATTCAGCACTTTATCATAGTTTTATAACATTTATACATGTATAATCGCAATAAAGGAAAGAACGCTTAACCTAAGAACTTTGTAGTGGAAATAACCTCTAAGTGGTAATTTCCACTACTTGATGTAATCTGTCCCAGTTTTTAGGGTGGTGAGTTGTGATGTTAATAACTTGATTCGTAAAGAGTGAGATCTATTAAATTACAAATAACTAAGCTTTCGCCCGCGACTTCATCCGCGTGGAATTGAAAAATAAAACAAAAGTAAGTCTATGTGTTCTTCCAGACTATCCTCTACATATAAGCCAAATTTTATCAAGATCCGCTATCCATGTAAGCTACAAACTAACAAACATCCATCCATCTAAACTTTCGCATTTATAACGTGATATCAAGATTAATGTTTTTTAATTATTGGTTTTAAATGTAACTACGTCAGAGTATTTAATCTGTTATGTTTTAAACACACACAACGATAAACACGCAAGGTTCAGTCGCCTTTTTTAGGTCAACTGAATTATAGTTATAAAAGTTTGATAAGATAGAGGAAAACTGAAGAAAGTATTGACACGTTCACTCCGTAACAGGCCGATATCGGCCTGACGCAGTACTTAAAACTATGTCCCTCTAGCTAGTGCGAAAAGATTATCTTAGGTGTATACATTACATTAAATAAAGTGTTTTTGTTTCCATTGTGTTTTCACAAAGTTATAGCAATTTAATCTATCCTAGTGCTGGTAGGTCTAGAAAGACCTGCCACGGACTGGCGGAAATATCATTGGGGGCGCATTTTGGCCCGCCGCCGCACCAGTTGCAGAATTATGATTTTACTTGCCACATTAAACGTGTTAATGGATTGTAAATATGCATAAGGTAGTTAATTTAGATATGACGGCTGATAGAGATGGAACATACTGTGCCGACCCTTCGTAGGGACAAGGCGTGATGATGATGTGGTTTGTGTAGTTTTGATGTAGTAAGTGTCTTCATTAGGATTATTTTCCCATTGGCCTAATCAAATCCATGTAACAAATCGACCTTGAATGAAATATAATTGATCATTAGGCCTGTCTGCAAGTGGAAACACTCACCTTAGTTTTCTATTTTTAATATCTATTTCCACTAGCGCGATCGCGCTAATTTGAGAATAGGTAATACTATATTAGGTATATAAATTAACTTGCATCATCAATACGTTTTATTCCGTTCGTAAGATTAGCAAGAGGATATTATTCCAAGGAATGTGTACATCGCTTAGTAATTAAATTAATACCGATTTTAATAAATATTATAGTCTAAAAATAAATTATAAATGTACTTAATACTTTTAAAAATAGTTTTACTCACGTTTTAATTCACAAACGTATTAAAATTTAAATTTGAAGTTATAAGTATCCTTCACTTTGCGCGTTCACTCTTCGGACACCACACAGTGACTGCCTTTAGTCCGTAGATGTACAAACTATTCTAAATACACACACATATATCAACAATTCTGAGATGTCATTGGAATTGCGACCGACTACTGAAACGACATTTAAATGGAACAGCGTCTTAAATGATAAGGCAACACTTACACTTTGAATTCCATAACATCTGATAGATTTTTCGGCGGTTAAAAAGTGTGCAAGATTCGTTTTAATATTCAGCCATTTAAAAGAAAACAATTTTAATTTTAATTACACTTATGTAATACTCAAACGTCAAACAAATTGTAAATGCAGAAGTGTAAGATTGGTACACAATAAATGCTTTGAAAATTTCACTTGAAAAAAATTGATGTACAATATATATTTGTACATCAATTTTTTTCAAGTGAATCCAATTTCAAATACTACATTTAAACCAAATAAACACAGCCTTTTAAAAATGCTATTTTCAATTCAATTGTTTCCATTGTGTTCAATTGTTTTTAATAGTCGCAGTTTTAGAGTGTTTTTATCTTTATGGTAATTGTGGGGGTTTATAGGAAAGAGAAAGTAGGGTGGGCATTGGTGTCGCTAGCCATCTAGACTAGGTCTAGGGGGATGCTATAATTATTAATATTGTCTTATTTTAAGTAATTCTTATACCTATATACACTTTGCGATTTTTTAGAGGGCCAGAGGCCGCTTCTACCACACCTAGTAAGACCAATGAGGGTAGATTGACATGATGAAAAGCATACCTTTTTATGACGACATAGGACAGATAAATATGATGATTTGTGACGGCACTAATCATATTATTATCAAGACTTAAGTAAATAGCTTGTTTGTTCATTTTACGTTCCGTTAAACTAAACGATAAATTATCAGTTCCACCAATAAAGGATAGTACAAAGCCACAGAGAGCTGTAAGAGGTCTCGTTTTAACATGACGTCACAAAGGCCGCCATTGACAACAAAGGTGCACTCCATGCTATTGTCTAGTTTGTGCGCTCCGGAGTGTTTGCGACTGTCTGCTATGAGTATGGTCTACACCTCTTTTCCACTAGCGCGACTAAACGCGCATCTGATATTTCTAAAACAATCGTGACAGTAACAATTTAAATTATACATACAATGCTTGTAGATATCGAAGTCGCGTGCTATGAGGGTCGCGTCGCCTCAGTGAATCAAGGGTCTAAACCTTGTAGACCTCTCTATTTCGCATACAGAACAACGTTTCGATCGCTAACTTTGTTATGTTGTCTAAGTTTCTTGTACCTGCAGAGTCCAGCGTGTTTCATCTACGTTTGCAAATAAACGTATTATTTGACATTGACGGACAAGTCGGTTTTATAAGAGATGCTTTCTATTTTCCTGCACAAAGGGAAACGAAGGCAAAATTTAAGGAATTTTAATTCTACATTTTATCTTCAATTCCTATGAACTATCAGTGATAAACCCTTTTTTGTTTCTGTAGAATAATTTTCTTTTAGATTGTAATTTAAGGAGATTTCTAACATTACATGAAAAGATCGTCTTAGTGTTGAAACAATTTTTCCTTCAGCAAAAAGACGTACATCGTGAGAAGAAACGTAATTACAAGGGCATTCATGATACACATTCATATAAAGCATTCTGGCTTTAGAACTGTAGCAACCGATTTTATAAAGAGATGTTAAATGAGGTCATAGACGTGCCATCGAATAATTGTGATTTTTTGATCATTGGATACATTCTGTAGCGTAACATAATACTCATATAAAACCTATTTCATACTTTTTTGTAGTGCACAATGAATTGTGTGATCAGACGTGCCGAAAACATTGTGTCGCGTGCCATTTGTTAGCCATCCCTGGCCTATGGGCTCATTCACATCAGCAGTCATTCTTCGTTCTGCGTTAATCTATGACGACCTTATTTATTTGCAGGATGACCCGATTTTATAGAGTTTTAGAGTCGGGCATGAAGAAATTAATTATTATTTAACACTAGCTGTTCCCGTGCGGATTCATCCGCATGAGATTATGAAAATTTTATTTTATTGTTTACATTTGTCAAATTATCAATACAAAATGTCAAAATGACACGACATGACAAACCTTGACTGTCTTGCTTCATTGATGTTGGCAGCAACCCACATTAGGGTTTTCATACAAAATATTTACCCCTAAGTTTAATGGCGTGAAATATATAGCCTAAAGCGTGACGTAACTGTAAGGCTTTTTATTAAATAAAGAATTATTTAAAAATATGCTGTAAATGCTGATATCTTAGGCAACAAAGAAGTGTGTGTTTACGCTTTATTATAATAGTATAGATATAGATATCTTTCAACGTACATTGCGACAAATAACACACAAAACTATATTCCGTCGAGGATTTTGTGACACTTTTTAGATGACGACAGGTGATGCAAATGAGCTATTGTAATTAAGTTTCACTCATGCTTACGGGGTCAAATAAGTGTCTTTAGTAAGCATTTTCGAAATATATTCGTAACTTTTCTCTCAGTTATCTATAGTGAATGTTGTACATGACATAAATCTGCTTGATTTGTGTGCGTGCTCGTTACGGTCGATCACGTGATCGGTATAAATAAA